CTGAATTTTCAGTGTGAACGCACTACTCGCACTATTTATACTACAAAACGTCATAGAATAGTGCATAAGTACGCGATTTGGGACGCACCTATTGTAATTCCATGGTTCTTAATTGCATTTGGCTCTTATTGTTTTCAACACAACACTAGTCAGGTCCAGCAGGTTTATTTTTTGCTTTTTCTTATACTCATCCTGGAAAAGTTTCAAGGTTAGTCAGTCACAGAAGGTCTGTTCTATAGATTGAAATAGTGAGAGTGAGTGCCTAAACACTTTTCAAATGGAAATGTTTCCTGAACATTTCCATACATTTCACATTCCAAAACACAGGTTTTGAGCTGGTAGGCTACTTGAAGTATGTACAGTATGTAACGTCTGGACGCTTGCACGTGAGATAACTCGACTGGCCCAGACAAAAACAGCTGATGTGAACAAGGTCAGAGAGGTGTTTGTGGTAATCATGCCTTCTCTTTATAGGTCTGACAGTGTTGCTGAAAGGTCATTGCATTTTCCATCTGTTAGCGCCCCCTTCTGGGTAAAATAACATAAAATAAAAAAATTATATTATTTGTTTATTCAAGCCAAGGTTATTCAGAGGTAACAAGTTAAATAACAATAATAAATAAATAAATCGAAAAAAAACTCTTCCTGTTCCACGCACGCCAGATTTTAATATGAAAATGCATCATTAAAATTGTATGAAATCGTTTTATAAATAAAACAATACAATATTTAAACATAAATACATTACCACGTCCCCCGCGTTCTACGCCCATGAAGACAGTTTATGTGAATTATAATATTTTTTTTGACAGCAGAGCTACTAAAAGTTATCTTAACATGCCATCATCTTGGAGCTTCAGATGATTTTTTTTTTTTCATTATTTATCTATTTATTTCTGTGTGTAATCGATATGGTATCAGGGTTTTTCCTGAGTCAAAAAAGGTCTTCGGTGGTGGCTGAAAGTCATCCACACACAGTAAAAAGTATCATACCCACGTGATCTACAAGCCCAATATTGACCATAACTAAAATAAATGCAAAGAAACAGTTTGTGATTTTTCCACAGGCTTTCATATTTTTGTAAGATAGAATCCTTCTTTGCTAGACCTGACAGTTATTTTGGTATAATCATATCAATATTGAAAAGCATTAAAAAAGTCGCATTAAAAAGTGTATTTTAACTAATAGTCTAATTTTCTACCATACATCTGAATAAAATTAGCAGCACGCTAACACATTTCTTTGTGCTGGTTTCACCTCACTCCTGTTTAAACTAAATTATTTTATAGGTAATTTACTACACATTGTCATATAAATAACCTGCAATTATTGTGGATTATTAAAGCTAAATCTTTTATTATTATTAAAGGGTTAGTTCACCCAAAAATGAAAATTAGCCCATAAATTACTCACCCTCAAGTCATCCTAGGTGTATATGACTTTCTTCTTTCAGACTAATCCAGTCGGAGTTATATAACAAATTGTCTTTGATCTTTCAAGCCGTTTCATGGCACTCAGCAGGGGTTTGCATGCATCAGTCCAGAAAAGCAGTTAAATAAAATGCGCCCATCCATAAAAAAAAGTGTCTCACACGTCTCCTGTAGCGAATCGATGTGTTTTTGTAAGAAAAATATCCATATTTAAAACGTAATAATCAATTTAATCTAGCTTGCGCTCACTGTTGTACACTGGAAGCAGTTCCGGGCGGATGACGTATGAGGTCAGTGCTGCGCATGCCCCAGTGAGTCTCGTGAAAACCAATGTTTGTTAAGAGGAGCAAAGGAAGCAAAGTTTCCTTACTTTAGCAAAGGAAAGTCATGTCACTCAGCGGCCATCTTTGAAACTCCTCTCAGGCATGCAAGACTGATGCATTGCAAGTGCAGCTCCTATCTCTTTGAATGGGGAAACATCAAATTCTTCAAAACTGTTCGCCAAGCTTGCAAATAAATTTCATATTTGAAATCACCAATGAAATCTGACAACAACTGTATCATAAATGTTGTTTATATTGGTCAAATTTTTCAGGCTAGACCAGCCAGTGTGCATGCGCACTCCTAGGCGCACGTCTCAGAACGCTTACTGTTTCTATAGCAACTGGGACTTCTAACGGCAGCTGCAGTGACGAGCTGATTTTACCGGGATATGCTCTTTTGCTTAGAAGGCGGGGCTTTGTTCAATAGAGCGGCATTTTTCCCCATTCAAAACTATACAAGTAACAAGTCTTGGGTATTCTATAGTCTTTGGTAAAGTACCATTACCTTCCAAAAATGCAGTGTGAGTAGAGCAAAAACTAACTGCTAGATTGTTAGACCCCACGTATACATGAAAGTATTGAGGGGCCATTAACAGTGCTAACGCCTCCTTCTCGATTGTCGAATAATTCAGTTGATGCTTATTGAACTTGTTCGAGAAATAGCAAACAGGGTGAACAATGCTATCCTTAATCTTCTTGCAGTAATACGGCACTGGCACCAACAGCACTGGCATTCACTTCTAACTTAAAGGGGTCATATGATGCGATTTCAATTTTTCCTTTCTCTTTGGAGTGTTACAAGCTCTTGGTGCATAAAAAAGATCTGTAAAGTTGCAAAGACTAAAGTCTCAAATCCAAAGAGATATTCTCTATAAAAGTTAAGAGTCAGCCACGCCTACCTAAAACGGCTTGTTCTTTTTAGCAGCATCATATGACCCCTTTAAACTCAGGTTTAAGGAGACATACACAGAAGGGTTTTGATAGAGTAAAAGTTGTGCTTGACACTCATCAGATCATAGAAATGGACGAGATGGACTAAGGAGAGAAGTTAAAAGATGTGCAATAGTAGAAAAGTTTTTACAAAAGCTACAGAAGTATCCAGCCATGCCTAAAAATCTATGAGGCTCTCGTCTGGTAGTTGTCTATGGCTGTCACCTTCGCTTCTAACGGGCGCACTTGACCTTGAACGACTTCTTTACCAAGATACGTGATAGTTGATTGGACGAATTCACACTTAGCCAAATTCAAGGCCAGTGAGGCTTTGGCAAGGCGCTCAAACACAGTCCGTAATGAAGAAACTTGTTCTGACCAGTCCGTATTCCATACACAATCAAATCATCCAGGTAGGCATTACGATTTGAAACTCCTGAAAGCACAATATTAATGAGCCTCTGAAAGGTGGCCAGTGCATTGCGCATCACGAAGGCCATAACTGAGAACTGTAGAAAACTGTCAGGACTCACGAAGGCTGTGATATCGGAAGCACGAGATGTAAGGGGCACTTACCGATATCCTTTTAGTAAATCTAAGGCCCCGATCACACCGAACGCGTTTTTTAGGTCTGACAACACGAGGCGCACGGCACTGCCTTTTTTTGGGTAACTTTTTAAAAAAAGCAGTGCGCTGTGTTTTTTATGTTGCTAGGCAACCACCAAATCAGCTGTCCTGTCAGTCTAATCAAAGGTTTATAGCGCGAGCACTTTCAAATCTTTGGTTTTTGCTGTTAAGTAAACTGCCATATTAGCAGAAACCTTAACAAATACAGCTCTGGGTAACCCGCGACAGACACCAAAGGTTTCTCCTCCATCATTGCAGTCTCCGGACTTTCTAAACAACTGTAAACTTTCGTTACTATAACAGAAGGCCCGCCTCTCCATTCATTCGATTGGACAATGGAAAAAAACGCAAATGACGTCGGGCACTTTTCCGCTTTTTTTTTCAACTTCAGGCGCTCAGAGCGCTCCTCCAAAAACATGAGGCACAGCAGGCGGCTAAAACGCGAGGCGCCCGGGGCACATAAACAGCGCACAAAACGCTCACTGTCAACAGCCAGCAGCCATATCACCCTGCAGCCCAAAACTGGTTGCCCACTGAAGCTAAGCAGGGTTGAGCCTGGTCAGTACCTGGATAGGAGACCTCCTGG